AGATACTCCCAGCCATCTCTCCAACCCCCATCTGCTATCTTCTATAGGACTTGGGTCCCTAGAGCCCCTCTTGCAGCTCAGCTTCATCTGTCGCCAACCCTTTGATGGATCTAGTCAGGAGGACCAGAAACAGCAGTGTAAGCAACCCAGAATCAGGATAACAACTGCACAACGCCTCTGTGCCCCATGCCTCAGTTTCCCTAAACAGAGATTCATAGGCTCTGTGGCCTTTTTCCAGGGCAGAAGATTGTCCAACTGCCTGAGAGTGGAGACAAGAGCATGGGATTAGAGAGGAAGGTCAGCAGCAGATATGTAAAGCCAGCCTAGGGCACATGAGGGTCCACACCAAATGATCTACAAGAAAGGGAGACCCCTGCCCCACCTTGGGGACTAGCCCAACTCTGAGAAGAATGGAGACACTAATTTCCCAGTGAGAAAATTGAGGCTCAAAAGCCACTGGAGGGGCTGGGGATGTGGCTCAAGTGGTAGCGCACTCGCCTGGCATGCGTGCGGCCTGGGTTCGATCCTCAGCACCACATACAAACAAAGATGTTGTGTCCGCCGAAAACTAAAAAATACATATTAAAAAAAAAAAAAAAAGCCACTGGAACTGGCTTCCACTTAAGGGGAGGAGGGTAAAGCACCAGGTCCCTAAAGATTCTGGGGGACTCAAAGCCTGGGATTTGAGGGAGGCACAGAACAGGTTAGACTAGTGCAGACTCTGAGGTTTTGGTGAGGGACAGAGGACCCTGTTTCCTAGGAAGGAACCTGGTGGAGCAGGCTCTGTCTGGGGTCTGCAGATAAAAGCAATTGGTGGGGGGTGGGGGAGGACGGGATAGGGGGGTTTGGGGCTCAAGAGTCTCCAGGGTCTCAGCCAGACAGTTCAAGTTGGGGAAAGCAGAAGCTCAACTCAAACCGTTCCCAGTTACCCACAGTCAGGGGCCCTGCTCCCCACCATGGTGCCACCCTGACCCCCTTCCCCAGCGCTGCTGGCTCGCCCCCGCTGGCACAGCAACACACATGCGGGAGGCACACGTGTGAGCACCAAGCCCCGCACCTCCCAGCTGGAACATGTGCGCCCGGCACCCCCACCGCGCACGTGGGTCCTTGCTTTGGACCACCCCACACACACACATTGTTGGCCCTCCGGAGAAGACTTGGAAGCTGGAACTTTGCTGGGGGGCTGCTGGTCCCCAGGAGCTTGCAGCCTCCTCCCCCAACCTCGCAGCAGCCCCGCCCAGCCCCCTCCGGCTGTCGCCCATAAAGAACTCTCCGTTGTCATGGAAATTAGTGACTGCTAAGCCCGAGGGTGGGGGCCTGGGGGCAGTTGGGAGGGGCTGGAGGCGTCTCTGGGAGCGGGGAGGGATGGCTCAGCCCTTAGCCCCTACCCTCATGGGGCACCACGATCTTCGAGGGTTAAGGTTTTCACAATTCGTAACCGCAAAGGCTTCCCCCGGGACCCCCACCCGCCACCCCAGCCGTCCGAGGTAATCGGGTACTTCAACGACCCCGCGCGCCAACCCCCCCATCTGCAGAGCCCGCGAGCTATGTTCCCGCTGGGACCCCGAGCCCTCGCGCCACCCCCCTCCCCCGCACTCTGCGCTAGGAACCTCTAACCAGGAAAACAATCCCCCAAGGCCCCCCAACAAGCGTCCAGGAGACGCCCCCCAACCTGGGGCCCAACCCTCCCTGCTCCCGCACCTGCAGTTCTGGTTGGTCACAGAGAGGAAACGATCGCGGACTCAGCAGGGCGCCGAGGGCTCCGAGAGTGGCGGGTAGAATCCGCTTGGGGCACGCGGGGCAGACGCGGCGCCAGCTGCAGCCGCTTCAGCTCGCGAACCTCCAGCATCGCCAGCCGCTAGCCGGCAGTGGATTCGCACCCCGGGCCGGGGGCGGGCTGGAGGCGGGGCCTCCTAGCTGGGCCTGCCCCCACCTTGGGATCTCACTCGCGGGAGGGCACTAGCGGATTGGTGTTGAAGCTGGTGAGCCCCAACCATGCTCTCAACGATTCCCTTAAGACCCCGGACTTCCAGATCGACCCAGCAACAGAGGCCAGAGGGGCCATCCTGGGCCCAATGTAGGTGGTAGGGAGTGGGGAACTGGGGAAAAGCCTAAACCCTGGAGCTGCACGGAAGTCTCTTAGCTTTTAGTACTTGACGGTAATCTCTGGGGGACGAGGGCTCCACCCAGTTCCCCAAACCCAATCCAAAGGGCGGAACCCACGTAGGAGAACCAACTGGGCAATTGCTAGAGCGTCCTCCTACCTAGGAGCAGTAAACTCTCAGGGGGGTGTGTATGTGCAAGTGATCAGAAGATAACGCAGCAAGGGCCCCAGACCATCCTAACCCCAACTCCTGCAACGCAGAAGCCTTTCCCAGATGAAACAGCCAGGGTTGCTGGCCCAGTCTGCTCCCTCTTGTATGGTGTTGAATTTTCCAACCGATAAAAGTCACCTATGACATGGTGTGTGCTCTGTTTTCTTTCCACTGTAATCACCCCCGAACGCTTCATGAGCAACCCCACCCCATGAGCTGGGGCATGGGGTCACAGGAGAACTGTGGCACCAATGTACTCCACCAAGCCTGGACTTGGAAGGAGAAAGCTCAGAACTGCTAGGAAGAAGATTTGAAAGAAGTCCTTGATCTCATCTTCATCCTTTATACATGGAACCAATATGTGCCCCCATTCCCCTCACAAGCACTAAGGACCGTTCCAGTATCTAAAAGGCAGACTTAAGCCTTTCAATATCCAGTAAGCCATCTGGCCCTGACTTCAGGGGTGGGGGAAGAATGGGATTATCCCCAAATTCTTAGGCATGTTGAGTGAGGTTCTTCTGCATGGCTACCCATAGCTGATGACAGGAAAGACTAAATGAAGAAATTGAGAATAGAACTAGAAAACTAGCCTGGGAAATGACTACCTCAACCAAGGCCACTCTATGTCTTCCTCCAGATGGGGTATTGAGGATCCTTAACTTCTTTCCTTAGCTTTGATTCACCTTCTGCAGGCCCCTCTGTGCTCCCTAAGTTCTGGGTGGTCACTGTGATGACACACATAACACTGCTGGGTAGGAATCTCCTCGCAAGCCAGGCATGTACAAGACGAAGACTATCATCTCAGTATGCTTAGCTAATGTTTGCAGAATGAATGAATGAAGGGCTTGGCACTGAGTCCTTCTTGCCATCTGCCCACTATCCTTAAAATGATGGGACTCTGAGTTGTATGTGGTAGCCAAGTCATGAATTGCTGACCCCATGTGTCATACACATTTTCTGTCTTTCCCAAGGATCATAACTATCCAGGCATGGGACCAACAAGAAGCTGAAATGGGGGTTTATAGGCAGGGGAAGGGGTGGCTCTCTAGAGCTTTGCCTGATGCTGGCAGTACTCCACTTCTTCTTGGTCCTGTGCACACTCTGTATGCGTGTGGGTGAGAGCACGTGGCAGGGTGTGTGCGCACACGTGTATATGTTGTGTTCTTTTATGCTCAGAGAGATGGCAACAGCACAGTGTGTGCAGTGGTGCCCAGGGTCACGTGTGTCTGTGTTCTGTGTGCACTCAGGCGTGCTTGCTGGCACGTGTATATTAATGCTGTAGTTAGTCCCTAGAGATGTGGATCCTTCTTTCTGCCTGACACAAGTCTCAGGATTGTGGAGGCTGAATCAAGCTATGGAAGCAGGATATAGGAAGGGGCTGGACCATTCCTGGGGGGTGAGCCAGGTCTGTGACATCCATAGATCATTGTTTCCAAGCTCCGCACTAGGGCAGCCCCTTACTTTCAAGTATATGTGAGGGTAGATAAGTCTTTGTCATTTGTGGAAGGCAACCTGAAGACATGGCTTGTCCCTCAGCATCCAGCCAGGAAAAGTATGACCAACTTGAATGTTTGGTTTCAACATGGAGCCCCTCTGGACAGGGGATACTAACACCACTGAATGTCATTCATTCAGCTCTGGGTCATGCACTGGGTCAAACCCAATCTTTTTTCCTATTTTCCTCTTCAGAGCTAGACAGTATCAACAGACATGGCTTCTATCTACCCACTAACAGGGATGATGAGAAGCCTTTCAGCATAGGACAGAGTTTGAGGCAAGAGCAGAGGTAGTTGGCACTGCATTGCCTCTGTGAGAACCCTCTTGAGAACTGTACTCTGGGCAGCCTACAGGAAGGAGTTTCCTGAAGTGGGAGGCTAGGGAAAAGAAGGGAGTCCAAAATTTATAGTTCTAGCTTTTACCAAAGCTAGCAAATCAGAGGGGCAGGAGAAGACATGATCCTCAGAATCTACAGAGCCTACAGTGCAGATCAGTGCTACTCTCCCCATCTCAGGTTGTGCCTCGCATCTAGGATCCAGGACTTATTGGCCCTCTCTACTTCCTACCCTGTGTTTGAAAGGCCAGTACTCCCAGGCCCTCGTTCTCTGACTGGACAAACACAGCATAGAACTCCAGCCAAGGTTCAGACTCTAGGAGGTACCTGTGTTACCAGGCCAGCTCCTCTGAGAAGCCCAGACTGACCCTGACAAGGTCCCTCCCTTTAGGGTCAATGCCATATCCTCAGCCATCTTTAGAACTGCCCAGTTATTGTCCATGCTGTCTTTAGCACCCAGAAGAGGGTCCAAGATGTGGGAGGGCTAGCAGTCTTTCCTTCTAGAGTAGGGGAGGGGGCTGACCCCCATCCCCCACGTCATGACTCACACCAGGCTGTGTGGGTTATTACATTATGTTTGAAATTGCCATGGCAACTAGCTGGCAATCAAGGATAATTACACTTGTCGTCAGAGCAACAGGGCAAAACCCACAGCAGCCACTCTCTGTGGTTGCCCTTGGGGTACAGTAAAGGTCAGGCCAGATCATAGCCAATGCTATCCAAGGGGCCTCAGATCCAGAAAGGGCAGGTTGCCAGAGCCCATGGAGTATCAGAATTCAGGCCTCCATTCCTGATTCTGTGCCTGAACTCCTTTTCCCCCCACACCACACTATGCCTGAAACATGCAACATTGCTTAAAGCAAGCAGAACCAGAACTTTATGTTCACAGCTGATACTTGTAGATAGCCCATGGGCCTTCCTCCTCGTACTCACGGCGGCTGAGCCACAAGCTCTGGAAGGAGTCCCGGCATGCCATGATGGAACCCCCAAGCCAGGCAGCAACTGCACGGTGGGGAGAGCCCAGCACAGTGGCACCAGGGCCTAGCTCCTGTCTTAAGCGCTCAGGGAAGCCACTCACCAGGGTGCTGCCACCATCCAGCACCACATTGGCCAGCAGTTGCTTCTGCTGCTTGGCCTCTAGTCGGCTGATGCTTAGCAGGGCCAGCTGTGGAAGTCCTGGCTGGTTGACACCTAGCAGGTTGGGCTGGAAGAGAGCCTCGGGGCAACAGAAGCGCTCAGAGCCCAGTGTGACAATCTGCTTATCTGGGAGTACAAAGTCCACTTGGGCTTGGGTCTGGGTGCGGGCCATCTCAGCCGCCATGTCCATAGCCACATAGCAGCAGGACTCTTTAATTTGGTTGACGAACCCTGCCTTAAGTGGTGAACGGCCACCTGCCAGCAGCAGCTGAGCCAAGTAGTCAGTAAGGTCAGCACCAGCCACATCCAGCCGGTAGGTGTCAAGTGGCGCCAGATCCCCAGTGAGGATGGGTGCCACGTAGGAGGTGCCATGGCCACTGCCCAGCACCAACCCAGTGGTACGCCCATAAGCATAGAGTGCCAGCAGGGCCTGATGCACTGTCTGCATGGCTGGCACATGGAAACGTTCAAAGAGTATTTCTGCCACCTTTTCTCGGTTAGTACGTGGTGAGATGGGGGAGTCAGCCACAAGCACAGCCAACTCCTCAGGCTGTACCCCCAGCCTGCAATAGAACAGGTGCTGCCACAGCACCTCTAGTGCATCCCAATCAGACACCACACCCCGATTCAGTACAGGATAGGAGCCTTCCTGGTTTTCCGGCACTGCATACCGGGGCTGGCCCTGGGCTGGATGTTGCAGCAGCTGAACTTGTGAGGGTACCACATTGAGGACATGGTCCTCACCAGCCAAACCACATTTGGTGAATCCTGTGCCTGTATCAATCACTACAGCTGCCATGTTCTGGTAGGGGCTTGAAGAGTGACGACAGAGAACTGGTGACCGTCCTGACAGAGCATCCATGGTAGACACCAGCTCATAACAGGCCCCACGGAGCAGGCCAAGATGCGTGACCACTGATGAATGTGTAATGTCCTCAGCTGTCAGCTTGAAATGGTTCCCACTCTGAGATTCAGTGTCCACCATGGCCATGGGCAAGACTTTGCAGCCAGTGCCAGGTGTGCTAAATGCAATCAGAGAAAGATGTTCTTCCTGGGCCCTGGGGGAGCTACCAGGTTGCCAGGATGAGAGCTGATGCATACTAGGGCTTTGAGCACTACCAATACCAACCATCTCTCTATTCCTATAGCTACAGGTCTCTTCTGGAGCCAAGGGCACTCGAAGTACCTCTACACGGGCAGGCAGATCCAAGGGTTCATTTTCCTGGGTGGAAACCTGGCAAGGCTCTCCAGAGGTGAGGGGCCCTCTTGGCAGGGTGGGATCTTTGGTGGTGGTAGGGGGGGGCATCCTGGTGAAGGGTACTTGCCCAGGGAGAGAAAGCTGATTGGTAAGAGGGGTCTGCCCAGTGAAAGGAAGCTGACCAGTTTCAGGGAGTTGCTTAGTACAGGGAGGCTGACCAGGTGGAGAACCCTGTTCAGCTATGGGTAGCTGCCTAGCAAGGAGGTTCTGCCCACTGAGGAAACTCTGACCAGTGAGGGGGACCTGCCCAGCATCTTTGGTCTGAGGATCAGGGTGAGCAGTAATGACTTCTTTCTCATTACGTCTGCCTACCTCCTCTTGGAATAGAGATTTGGGCATCACCTGCATATTGACAGATGAAGCAGGCTCTGAGTTCATCCACTGCAGTTTCTTGGGCTGGATCACAGAGGTGTCTGGCATCCTGGAGGACTCTAGCATCCAGATGGTATGACTAGGTTCATTTTTTTCAGCATCAGGTTTAGACCAGCCAGGATCAGGTACATGGGGCCGAATCCTCTCACCAAATTGGAGGGGTGTCTCCAGTGGAACAGGCCCAGTGAATATCCCAACCCTCATGGGTGTTTCAGGGGAGTCCCGTGACTCCAGGTTGTGCCTGGCCTCCTTGGGAACCAGGGCCACCTCTCGGTAGCTGGCAGATGAGAGGCTGGAGGGTACAGGGCTGGACAGCATGGGTGTGGTGGACCAGAAGCTGGAGTGATTGCTGGCAGGGGACACGTTGGGCCTGACCAATGACCGGGTATTTTCAGGAGAATAGAGAGATGGGTGGCTGGGCACAAGGCCCACCAACACTGCTCGTGAGCCCATAGGGTCATGGCACAGCAGCCCTACCCTGGTGTTGCCCGTGGCCATATCAAACACCAGCACTTGGTCTTCCACAGCTTCCTGGAGCTTACAGGCTGGGGTACTGGTTGTAGGAATTTGCATGGCTTCCTTGGGAAGCTGGGGTGTGGACTGCTTGTGGCAGGTTACTTGGTATGAAGACTGTGGCACACTGGAGTAGTTGTTGCAGACATTGGGAGGCTGCTTGTCAGGTTGAGAGCTGCTTACATCCTGGTTTCTCTTCTGGAACTTGGGAGTAGATGGAGGCTCTGAACATGGATTTGGGCTGCCTGGCTTGGAGGGATAGACTATGGGCTTCTCCACTGGGTTTTCAGGTTGCTCAGGTGGCACCTGCCTTCCAGTAATCTTGTGCTCCTGGGCATGGTCTGGGAACACTTCTGAAGCAGGTGCTGCAGTAGGAAGCTCCTCTTTAGGTTGGACTTTTTCCTGGAAGGATGGGGCAGTTTTAGAAGATTCCAAGAGGATTGACCATTGGTTGCCACATCTCCTGAGGAGGAGGTCTTGAGATAGGTCTTTGGTGACTGGAATGGTGTCAGTCAAGTGATCAAGGGTATAGGTATAAGGTTCAGCTGCTGCAGGCTTTGGGGTCGCATCCAGAGCTGGATTTGTAGCCTGAGCTGGAGTTGAAGGAGTCAGTGACGGCAAAGAAGTAGTTTTAACTGGGGCAGGAGCCTGAACCAAACACGAGCCCTTTCCTGGGCCCTGATCTTGGGCTGGAGCCTGTGCTGGAGCCTGTGCTGGAGCTTGTGCTGGAGCCTGTGCTGGAGCCTGTGCTGGAGCCTGTGCTGGAGACTGTGCTGGAGCCTGTGCTGGAGACTGTGCTGGAGCCAGTGCTGGAGCCAGAAGAGAAGCTTGGCCTTCAGCTGTACCATCCTTTGCTGAGAGAAAGTAGGGTAGCCATCGACTCTTCCTGGTGCCCAAGGGGGCCATCTGATCTGTGTTGCAAGGGCCTTTGCCCCAGCCTATCAGGACTTTAGCTGGAGCCTTGCCCTCCTTCCCAACCTGCATCTGAAGCCGGGAACGGTAGGATGCGCACCGGGTAATGTCACTGTTGTTGTTAACGCGTGTGCACGCTGGTAGGTTCAGGGTCCCGTCGTCCATGACAAGATGCTGTTGGGCTGCTACAATGGGACTTGAATATGAGCCAGTAGAGGAGAGTCTCAGAGCATCCTGAGAGGTCTGCATATAGCGGCACCTGGAGCTAACCTGAGCAGGGTCCTGGAGTTGCTGGTGAGTGGGCTCGGGGATGTGGGCCTGGGAGGCTGGGCCACAAGCTGCATCAGTGGTGGCCTCAGAGGAAAATGACAACCCCTGCTTGAAGTATAGGGATCCTGAGTTTATCCATGGTCCCTGGGACCCTCTGAGGCCACCCCTCAGCTGCTGGTTGCAGGCCGAGGGGTGGCCTTGGGGGCCCGATGGATCAGGGCCCCCCACCTTCTTGGTGGCTTCCATAGTCCTGCTCCATGTCCTAGGAGCCCTGCCCCCACTTCATTGTCATGGCAACCCTACACATCACAGCCCCCAGTGACCTGGGAGGTGACAGTGTGGGAAGTCAGTGGCCCCACCCCTTGAGGAATGGGAGGTCTGCCCTAGGGACCTTGGAAGGCAGAGAAACCCAGAGATCTCAGTGAAGTTGGCCAACTATAGGCCAGCCTCCTCTCCCCTTACCAGTGAGTGACCACTCTGCCCAAGCCAACTCCAGAATGAAGGCAGTACCTCAGAGGGGGCAAGTGTAAAACCAGAAGAGAAAGGTAGGCAGGGAGACTCTAAGGAAGCCTCTGGCTCTGGGTCTTTTGGGGAGGTTGGCAAAGCCCCTTCACCACTTAGTGCTGGGAGACAGAAGAGGGTAAGGGGTCCAGGCTTAAGCCCAAACTCCCCTCCTATATATTCCCCAGCTCCTGCTCCAGGGACAATAGCTCCTTGGCAGTCTCTGATGCTCCAGATGGTTCTCCTCTGCTAGTGCTTCACAGAGCCCCCTCCCCAGAGCCACATGTCCCTGAAGCCCAGGACTAGTATCCCACTGGGGTGAAGATGGGGGTGGCAAGGGTAATGGTAGAGACTCTGCTCAGAATCCTCAAGCCAGAATGTTCTAGCTCTTGTCACATTGTGTCAACTTCACCTTGCCCATAAAGGGGGCAGAGCACAGGGCACAGGGCTAGGCCACAGGGCCAGCCAAGTGGCAATTATATGATAGGGTGTGGTAGGGACACAGTCAGCACAGGGCTGGCCACACTGTGGGGAGGTCTCAAATGCTGGACTAAGCACATAATGGACATAGAGCTATGTGTATAGTAAGGACAAATTGAATATGGGCCTGGACATGGAGTATAAGAAATACAAAGTATAGACCAGTTCCACCTTCTACTTCTTAGGTGGGGAAAAAATAAGGGAGGAGTGAGATGCTGGTCCTGGGCTTCAGGAACATGTGACTTGGGAGAGGGATCTATGAGGTCCCCAGGCCCAGAGCTGCCCTGCAGCCACAGGAGACAGCCCTAGGGTAGTAGTTTAGAGAGCCAGCCACCAATTTTCATAAGCCTGGGTCTGGAAGTTCTGACCTGGGCCCTTCTCCCTCCACCAACCAGTCCTGAGTTCTCTGTTTTCCAGGGCTGTGTCCCTTTAGGCCTCAGTCTTTCCACCCAAGAAACAGGTTTGTGGAGAATGCAGCTGTAGGTTCATCCTCTGAAGCAGTTTATTTTCACAAAGGTTAAAAATAGTATTTACAGTTGGCCATGGGGTGTGAGGCTATGTGACTAGGGATCCAGGCCAGCACTACTGCATCTGCAAAACTACATCTGCACCTGACAATGGGCAAAGCCTGACTCAGCCACATCTCATGACCCCTGGGCCCCCTCCACCTTCCCCTTCCCTGGATGAAAACTTCAATTAAGACAGATGGTTCTGACACAGAGGAGCTAAAATGCTTATCTTCATGCTATGGCCCAGAAAGGTAGCAGAAACCTAAGGGTCTATGAACTGTGCATGTGTGTGCATGCACTTGTGCACATGTATACTTGTAGAATATTATAGCTTCATTAATCTCTGAGAGCAAGAGTTGTCTTTTTGTGATACAGGTGCTAGTAGTTGCCTAGAATGCCTGTGCAGCATCAGAGCTGGGCTGTGCCTGGGAGGGCTGAGGAAGTACAGAGTGATGCCCCAAGAGACCCCTGTCATTCTGATTCCTGAACCATCCCCTACCATCTCCTACTTCTACAACGTAAGGCATAACCCTCGTTTTCAGAGCTGGAGTCCTTTATGAGTAATGGCCTGAGGTCTTCTGGAGAAAAAGAGCAGAGCCAATTGAAGGTTCTGGCCCAAAAAGGAAGGCCCAAATGAGGCAGCCAAAAGAGACAAGATGCTACCTGGGAAGCAAATACAGCTTATAACAATAACAATGACTGACACTGTGACTGGAAACTGAGACAGGGAACCTGCCTCGATCCTGCCTGTCCAGATTCAGCTGCTTACCCACGTAAGAAATAAGCAAACAATACAAAAAGGAAAAAGGAATTTTATGCAGTTTGATTGATCAGATCCTCCTTCTGTGCCAGTGCAAAGCAGAGAATACGTAACCCATCCTTGCAGTAATTCAATAAGCTGGGCACTATTGTACCTTTATTATAGATAAATAAATCAATGACCAGAAAGGAGAGAGAGGCCTGTTCTTACTATGGTAAAGCCAGAATCTGCAGCTAGGCCATGAGGCTCAAGACCCATACTACAGAAACCTATGGTGCAATGACTGAGTGCCATGCCAAAGCCACAGAGACATGGGTCCTGCTTACATGCCTTCCTTCTGGGTGTTACAGCCCCAAGCCGTGTCTTCCATGGACTTTCTCCTCCAGATAACTTAGCAGGTAGCTCAGGTGTTGAAGGGGTATATTCCTTGTTGGTGCCACTAAGCCAGCGCCCTCCCAAGAACCTTGTGTTATTGAGTACAGGCCAGGTGTACATCCCTTTGGGCCAGGCTGAGTCCTTGTACTTAGAATTCTTGGCTGGAAAAAAAACCCATTCCCATCTTATCCAGCTGAGGGGAGGAGCAGCAGGCAGGTAGAGAGATTCTTAGTCTAGGCCTTTTCCTCCCAGACCCTGGAGAAGGTACCCCTGTACCTTCCCCCCACACTTGTTTTTAAATAGTCTCTCACCAGGAAGAAGGGCTTCCAATTCTATTTCTGATTCTGGGAAGTGATGAGGGCCATGTGTTGCCATGGCAACCTAGAACCCCTCCCCCAGGATGAGCCCATTCCCCAGACTGAGGGCTGTAGGGTGAAGAGCAGGTAGCAAAAGGAGCTGGAAGGAGCTCAATCTGAGGGGAAGATAGGATGGAGTGTCTCCTGTGAGGGGTGTACTGGCATTGCCTTTCTCCTTCCACTTCATCTATCCCTCCTGACAGGCTTGGGGGAAGGCCCCAACCCCTAGAGAGAGAGTTGAGTCCCTATAGAAAACCATTCTCTCCTATAGATCAAGCTGAAATCTTGTCACCTAGAAGGCCTTGGGGATGGTGAAGAGGCAGCAGGAAGGGCATCAAGGACGAAGCACAGCCAGGCATAGTGGCACATGCCTCTAATCCCAGCTTCTCAGGAAGGAAGATCGCAAGTTAGAGAGCAGTCTGGGCAACTTAGCAAGAATCTCCAAAATCAAACAAACAAACAAAAAAAGAGGCTCAGGGATATAGCTTAGTGGTAGAATATTTGCCTCATACAAGTGAGGACCTGGGTTCAATAGGGGTTGGGAATAGATTATTATTTCTACCAGAGAACACATAACCCAGCCTTGCAGTAATTCAATGAGCCCAGCACTATTGTACCTTTATTACAGATAAGGAAATCAATGACCAAAAAGGAGAGAGAGGCCTGTCTTAACTATAGTAAAGCCAGTATCTGTAGCTAGGCTATGAGGCTCTAGACCCATACTACAGAAACCTTTGGTGCAATGAGTGAGTGCCATGCCAAAGTCACAGAGACATGGGTCTTGCTGGAGGGGAGATTACATGCCTTCCTTTTGGGTGCTACAGCCCCAAGCCCCACATCCAAGCTATATCTTCCATGGACCCTCCTCCCCCAACTTAACAGGTAGCTAGGTTATGGCCTACTGGATCAACAAGGCTTGTTTCACCAACATAGACCTGTTTCTGACTCCCAGGAGGAAGCTAGCTCTATTAAGTTTCCTGTTCTGCACTTTTACAGTCCACCTCCCTTCCATTCTCTGTGTCCTGAGAAGACTCTGGACATTAGGATCAAAAGGAATCTTCAAGGGTTCCAGTGTAGTTATACTGTTGATAATGGATCAGAAAATAAGACCTGTTTCTCCAGAGGTTCATTAGGGCTTATACACCAGCCCTTCTGCTTCTGAGGAGGGAAGCATTCCAGTCAGGAGCACAACCTAGATCCAATCTTTTCTCAATACTCAGGAAACTGAGGCCCAGCAGTGTGCCTTCTGCTCCTGAGGAGGGAAGCATTCCAGTCAGGAGCACAACCTAGATCCAACCTTTTCTCAATACTCAGGAAACTGAGGCCCAGCAGTGTGCTTTCCTCTCCTGATCCCCCTCCCAGAAGCTACCCAGGAGCCCTAGATCTCCTGCTTCCCTGAAGTTTCCCTTGGTCATGATATACCCATTCCATGGAGGTAAAACTATTTTTTAAAGGAGGTGGCTCCTCTTGCTCCCATGCCTCTCTGCCTGACCCAGAGGATGATAGCCAAGGACAAAGAATCCCATCATCCCTAGGGGAACCTATGGCAGGGTGAAGGGAAATAATCCACTCCTAATCTGTGATGTAGAAGGCAGAACCTACTAGTGCCAGGAGGATACAGCTTCTGAGCTCTAAGGCACAGGCAAATTTAAATAACAGATGTTTAAACAACCTTCCTTGCAAGCCTTCAGTGCAGTGACCCCTCTGCTGTGATGTGTTGCAGCTTAAAAATAGCCTACAATGAACTGCTCTGAGCCCCAATTGACTCAAGCTTACGTAACTCTGCATGAAAGATGGCCAGCTGCACCAGTCCAGAGGGAGGGCAACAGCTCAGCCTCCCTGATTGGCTAGGTAAGTTCCTTACCCCCTTGGGAGCGGCCCCCCAACAAAGAGGAGATGAAGAAATACTGTTAGAAGCACACATTTATTTCATGACTGCTGGGAAGAGACCTCCAACAACATCTGCAGAGGGAATGTGAGAGGAACTACTCTCCTTCAGGAACCATACAGAACCCAGGCCGGATAGAGGGTATAGGAACAGATTAATGTGTCAGAGAGATCTGGGTACAAGTTCATGTTGGCACGTGATTACAGCTGAGCAAAAATATTTGTTTTCCCCTTTGAAGAGGAGGCTCCCTGACTTGGAGGTACTTGCCAGCAGGACACATGCTTGGCTGAATCTGTCACTGCTATGGAGCCCAGGGGTGGAATCAACCTCTTTGGACCTTCTAATTCTCCATGTCCAACATCCCAGGAGTGACCCATGAGGGAGGGGGCACTGTCTTCAAAGCTGATAGGATCCTGTGATCCTGGCCACCAGCTGCTTCAGACCCCATTCCCTCTGCCACCTTTCCTGACACATCTCAGATCTCAAATGCCCAGACAATGACAGCCTACAAGAGTGTGCAGGTGGCTAAACCAACCTGAAAGGGAGCAGAGAAGAGAGGTAAGGGTGCCCCTGGCATAGGGAGCTCTGGTGCTCACTGATCCTCCTGCCTCTGCCCATGCTGAGCCCTACCAAGGAGTCATCAGCTTCCTTCAACTACTTCAAATTGAGTTTAAAACAGGACCAGTGCTGGGCATGGTGTCACAGGCCTGTAATCCCAGTGGCTTGGGAGGCTGAGATAGGAGAATCAAAAGTTCAAAGCCAGCCTCAGAAACTGTGAGGCATTAAGCAACTCAGTGAGACCTTGTCTCTAAATAAAATACAAAATAGGGCTGGGGATGTGGCTCAGTGATCAAGTGAGTACCCCTGAATTCAATCCCCAGTTAAAAAAAAAAAAAAAAAAAAAAACAGGACCAGTCCACAGAACAATGGTGAGAATGGGCTTGGAGTGGGGCTGTACCTGGCCTCAATTGTGACTCCCAGAAAACCTTTGGGATCCTGGAGAAATTCCCTGACATACTAGGGCTGAGACATATGGGTATCTCAAGCCAGACTAATGGTTCTCCACCAAAGCAGGTCAGTCTATCCTGTGTATACCTCTCTAGGTGCCCGATGACAGTAACACAGATGTGACAGTAACACAGATGTGACAGTAACACAGATGTTACTGCTTTTTCCCCAGTCCCGTAGCCCCACTAGACTACTAAGGAGGGAGATGAGGCAGAGGGCCAGTACCAGCTCTTGGTGGAAAGGCTGGATTCTAGAGCCTTGGGAAAAACAACTTCCTACCCTATCCTCACCTATTGGCAAGCCTAGGGGCCACCTGCTGTACTGAAACCACTATTCAAGTCTTCCCCAGGGGAGAGGCAGCCCAACCTATCCCAGACTTGGAGGACACTCAGAAGCCTCCTGGTCCTCCTAGCCCATCTGAGGGCCTAGAGTTGACCCTCTCTACCTGTCCTCCCTGTCACCAATAGCCAAGTCATCAATTTGAAACCCTAAAATAGTTCTTAGCTCACAACATTCTGGATGCACTTGCAACTATCAGGTGACCCTAAAAATGGAGTTCTGAGCTTAGGGGCTGCAGAAGTTTGGAGTGGGGCAGCTGTGCTATAATCTTGTACCATAAGCGGGGCTGGGGATATAGCTCAGTTTGTAGAGTGCTTGCTTTGCATGCACAAGGCCCTGGGTTCAATCCTCAGCACCAAAAAATTTTTTAAAAAAATTAAAAAAATAATCATCTTGTACCATAAGCACCTATTTAACTGGAGCCCCTCCCTGGAGCCAGAATTAGACCCAGAAACAGACCAAAAATCCCCACATTAAGGCTGTGTAAAAAATATCACACCCCTTAAGCTCTCTTTTTCCTTTCTTGTTTAGGTCCCCTTTCCACGCAAAGCTCCCCTCCTGGCCAGAGACCCCTTCTTCTCTGAGTCCCTGTCTTCTGAGTAGTGTGGAAGGAGCCCCTGGGCCTTCTCCTCACTGCCTCCTTGCCTCACAACTGAGGGCTTAGAGTTTTGAGTGACTCTTAGATCCTCAGGATGGATTAAGAAGTAAGGACTAGGGGCTGATATACCTATTCCATGGAGGTAAAACTATTTTGTAAAGGAGATGGCTCCTCTTGCTCCCATGCCTCTCTGCCTGACCCAGAGGATGATAGCCAAGGACAAAGAATCCTAAGAGACTACTAAATGGACTAAGGGGGTAAGTTAAGTACATAAGCATGCAGCAGCTAGTGTACCACTGAGCTCAGTGGTAGAGTGCTCGCCCAGCACATGCGAGGTGCTGGGTTTGATCCTCAGCACCCCATAACAATAAATAAATAAAATAAAGGTATTGTGTCCAACTTCAACATATATATATATAAAATGTAAGGATTGCAAGCTGGAGGGATGGAGACAGTCCTTTCCAACTGGTACAGGGACACAGCTGTGGGGTTGCTCCAGGATACTTCACTTACTTCTCTCCTAGCCTTGATTAAGACAACTATCACACACACACAGTGACCAAGCATGCAAGGCCACAACCTCCTTTATACCCATGCTGAGAGGCATCAGAGGTATAGCCTATAAATAGGCAGACTGTTCCCACCCACCATTAGCTCAAAAAGCCCCTCATTTTGGGGCCCCTGCATTCCAGCAGAAGAGTCCCATTTTACAACTTACCAACCTATCCTCAGGGTCCTTCAGGTCCCTAGGTCTGAGTCTCTGGCCTGAGGTTCTTATTCCAAGGACCAAAACTTAACAGGGAGCTCCTGATCCAAACCAGGGTTCCATGTGTGACAGGGCACAGAGCTGGGGGTACAAAGAAGGGAGCTGCCCCAGCCCTTAGGGTGATCTAGGGTCCTAAGTAACGTAATCTATAACCTGAGACCAGACACCCTGGTACTCCAGCTCCCTGAAACTGGGCCCAGCTGTCTGTTCAGCAGTAGGGGCATCGGGGAGGAGCAGGAGGAGGAGGAACAACTTCTAGAGGAACATGCCCCGCTAGTGGCTATTGTGTAGTGGCCTTGAGGAGTATAAATAGCTTGGGCAGTTTGTGCTTCAAAGTTGGCTCCTTGATAGTGTGGAGCCCAGGCCTCTCTGCTGGTTCTTCTTTCTCAAGGTTGCAAGCACAATGCTGGCAGATTTGGGAAGTGGGCAAGTCTCCATGTCCTGACTATGTGTATGTATATGGTGGGTTGTACTGCGGATGTAGAATGGGACCCTGAAGAAGTGCTGGGGTGGGGTGGGGTGCAGGCAACCTGAGCCATGGAAGAAACCATACTAGCTGCTGCATGCTTGTGTACTCAACTCACCCCCTTAGACCATTTAGTAGTCTCTAGTAATCTGATCTATGCCTTGCTTTTAGCCCCCAGTGCTTGCTTAACCTCCATTGCTTCTAGAGCCTTCTGGCTGACCAGCCCCTTTCAAGTTGAAGGGTCTTTGTGTATACTACTCACGTTACCCAAAATTCTTTCCCCCCAACTCTGCTTCTGGCTGATATTCCCCACTTGATAAGGCCTCAGCAAAAATATCACCTCCTAGGAGACTTCTCTCACTTCTATCTAAAGCAGTCCTCTTCTCCCTCATATCAGCTTCCTATTTTTCATTCACAGCATTTACCATAATTTGTATTTGAATATGCATTTATTTTTTTTACTTCAAGGACTAGTGTCTCTGTGGACACTGCTGACTCTATGTGCCCAGCAGTCAGGATATACAACAGGCACTCCATAAATACATGCTATAGAAGGATCTTCCTCACTGGCTCACTCTGTTGAGGGAGGGAACTAATGTGTCTTATTCCCCTCCCATGGTCTTAGAAGGTTAAAGGGTAGAGACAAGGTGGAGGTTCAATGCTCTCTGGCCTGGAATGGCCCAGAGGCAGCTTGGGATTAGGCTCAAAGCTGCTAAGCAGGTCCAGCCCCTGTGGAACTTCTCAGGGATTAGGTCAAGTGGGCAAAGGTGGCTCTGAGAGGGGCCGGGGCCTCAACATGCTCCTGTGCACAGATGGGGATTGAAGCTGTTCTGGAAGCACATTCATTTCATCCAATGCACAGGGACCCAGATTCACATAGGCTGCAGACAGCTGCACATAGTGGTCCCCAAGCAGTGAGGCCACTACCTGTTCTACTTCCACCACTAGTGCTCCAAAGGTAGGTCGTGCTGCCGGGTCCACCTCCCAGCATTGTTGCATTACTTGATACCTGTAAGAGAAGGGTAATGTCAAAGGCAGGGTCACCCCTACCCAGGGAAAATGCACAGCCCACCTGCAGTTAAACCCTGTCAGGCCAGAGAAAAGGACATGTGACAGGGCCTACTGTCCTTGCCCAGTCAGGGGCAGTTCTTTTCATCACTATGATTACTGCTACAGTCCTACCTTCCCATCCTGGCAAAGGGCCACCCTGTTTCAGAGGATAAGAGCTTTGGTGCCTGTAGACTGGGATATATGATCTTAGGCAATTTAGCAAGGCCTTTCTATAACTCTGAGTTCTCCTCTGTTCACAGAGAAGTAGGGGCACAGGGCAAGAGTGCCTATGAAATGCTTAGCTAGGGCCACCTCACAAATTCTCATGATTATCTTCAGATGCATTGACTGACTGACTGATTGCAAGTAATGAGGATTGAGGATTGAACCCAGGGTGCTCTACCCCTAAGCAACACCATTAGCCCTATTTATTTTACTTTTTATTTTGGGGGATACCAGGGATTAAATCCAGAGGCATTTGACAACTGAGCCATATCCCCATCCCTATTTTCTAGTTTATTTAAAGACAGAATCTCACTGAGTTGCTTAATGCCTTGCTTTTGCTGAGGCTGGCTTTGAACTCAAGATCCTCCTGCCTCAGCCTCCTGAATTGCTGTGATTACAAGCATAGACCACCATACTTGGCCAGCCCTTTTTATTTTTGAGACAGGCTCTCACTAAATTGTAGAGGCTGGCCTCAAACTTGCAATCCTCATTCCTCAGCCTCCCCAGTCACTGGGATTACAGACATGTGCCACTGTGCCTGGCCCCAGCCTTTTTGTAGTTTTTGAGACAGGTTCTTGCTAAATTGCCTAGATTGGCCTTGAACTTGCAATCCTCTTGCCTCAGCCTCCCAAATTGCTGGGGTTACAGGTATGAGCCATAGTGCCTGGCTCCCCAGCTCATTTCTGAGAAACAGTCTTGCTAGTTTAACCAGATTGGCCTCAAATTTGTCATCCTCTGGTCTCAGCCTATTGAAAAGCTGCAATTACAGGCATGTGCCATTGTGACTGGCTTTCACAAATCTTCTAGGAAGGAAGTAAAATGGAGATTAAAAGTCCTGAAATAGGGCTGAGGATATAGCTCAGTTGGTAGAGTGCTTGCCTTGCATGCACAAGGCCCTGGGTTCAATCCCCCAGGCACTGCAGGAAAAAAAAAAAAAAAGTCTTGAAAGAGGAGTATTTGGGACAGTAACAGTATTTGGGCACCATTGTTCTGCAGTAAGGGTTTACCTGATGGGTCAGTCTCAGAGCATGCCTCATCATTTGGGGGAAGTCATCCTTGCTTTAAATGGTAGTCTAAGTGCCCTACATATAGCATCTCATATATGTCTCAGATTCTTTATAAGAGTGGTACTGTTGGGGCTGGGGTTGTGGCTCAGTGGTAGAGAACTTGCCTAGCATGAGTGAGGCACTGGGTTCAATTCTCAGCACCATATACAAATATATATATATATATATATATATATACACACACACACACACACACACAAATATATATACACAAATATATACACAAATATATATACAAATATACATACATACAAATACACACAAATATATACAAATATAGACATATACAAATATATATACGTATATACACATACAAATATATATACATATATACAAATTATATATATTCTTAAAGGTATATATATACACCTTTAAGAATGGTACTGTCATCATCCCCACGTCACAGATGAGTAAATCACAGATGAGTAAATTGAGGCCCAGTGAGGAAAAAGGGCTTGCCTTAGTGTAGAAGACACTGTGGTGTGCCACCCAGCTCTCCTTCATTCTTCCAGAGGCTGGAAGTGCTATCTGCAGATGACTCTTGGCTTACGCCCTCCCTAGAAACTGATCTATACAGAAAAGAAATGCCTCTCCCAAGCTCACACCCCCTCATCAGGCAGCCTGTGACCAGCATTAATTAGTGCCTTGTACAAAGATCTGGCCCTTGGTTTCAATTTCAGAAAATTCTGAAGGGCCATTCCAGCTCAAGCAGTCCCATGGATGGGTTGCATGTAATCTCTCCTGTGTCTGTCCAGTTCTGCTTCCCTCACTGCAACCTATCAAAGAAAACTTGTAGAGAAATCTCTACCTGAGTGTGTTCAGGCAAGCCACCCCAGATGCAAGTAGGCAGTGAGATAATTTCCCTTACTCCAAACCAAATGCCTTAGTGCATTGGATAGTAAAGATCAAGCCCAGTGAGGCATGGTGACACATGCCTGTAATCCCAGCAACTCAGGAGGCTGAGACAGGAAGATCACAAGTCCAAAGCCAGCCTCAATAACAGTGAGGCCCTAAGCAACTCAGCTAGCTTAAAATAAAAAATAAAAAGTGCTGGGAATGTGGCCCAGTGATTAAGCACTCCTGGGTTCAACCTCCCAGCACCTAGCATCAAAAAAAAAAAAAAAAAGTCAAGCTCAAGAACTGTGAGGAAGGGCTACTCACACCCTTTCTGGAGCCCAGCCTGGAACAGGATTTGTCAATGCCTTTCACCTGGGGTCTGGTTCTTCCTGTTCTAACCACATAGATCTGAACATAGCTGAATAGCTGAGACATGCCTGTTGTTTAGGGAGCCAAACCCACCCTGTAGGCACTGATGACAACACAGCTGCTGCCATCCCTCTGGGAATGAGGAATCTGAAACCAGATTGAGTGAAAAGAAAAAAAAAAAAAACAACAAAAAACCCTAATCTGGAGATGCAGAGGGGCCAGTGTAGGAGCCTGAAGGTTAAGTGAGTGGAAAAGATGGAAAACAAGCCCCCTTGGCAGGAAAGCGGGGAGAAGAGCAGGGAAACCAAACCCCTGGCCTCAACCCAGACTGAATTGGAATGCTGTTACCATGGCAACTGTGAGATCCTTTCAGCATTCTGCTCTGCATGGGGGTGGGACCAGTCCATAGATAAGGAAACTGAGGCCCAGAGAGGATCCCTTTCCAGAAGGTCAGTCAGAAAGCCAAGTAGAAAATGTCTCCTCTCCTCCACCCCCATCTCTGGAGCACAGCTTCCACCTCATTGCCAGTTCCACATACTCACAGAGAATTGGGACAATACTCAGGCTGGGGCAGACGCCGACCCTGGGCCAGGAAATGAATGAGGTCAAAAGGGTCAATGTGGGGGTATGGTGGGGCACCCCGTGTCAGCAGTTCCCACAGCAGCACACCAAATGACCACTGTGGGAGGGAAGAGGAGAGGGCACTCAACTCTCATCCCAAAATGGAGGCAGGTGGGTTCCCTCCTCTACCTCCCAGAATCCTTCAGCTAGAAATATAGGACCCACCCTCTACTTGGAGCTTATTTCTCAAAATCATAAAAGGTGTGTCCCCTTCCGTCTCCCACCACCTCAGACTTCCTAGAATTGGAGCTGGGCAAGCTCTGAATTGTCAGAGCCAATGAATTTACAGCCTCTTCTTGCCCTGCTGGTTGTCAGATTCTATCTCACATCTGTCCAAGAGGTGAACAAATGAGCTGTGAGGGTTGCCCAACCTGGGAATTCCCTAGGCTTGAATCAGGTAGAGCTGAATAGGAAAAGCTCAAGTGCTCAGGACATGGAGGCCCCAAGGACCTAGGGCACATGAGGCCTCACCACATCAGACTTGGTGGTAAATCGATAGGTCTGAAGGCTTTCCAATGCCATCCACTTGACAGGTAAGCGAGCATGGCGTTGCTGCTGAACACTGTAGTACTCCTTGTCCAGGACATCACGGGCCAGACCAAAGTCAGCCACCTTTACTGTGAATGATTCATCCAGCCTGGGAGGGGGAAATCACACTTAGAACTGACTCCTACCAGGCTCTGAATCCATCTGTTCCAGGGCCTTACAGAATTTCAGAGCCCCACTATCCAGTTCAAATCTGCACTGGGCAGACAAAAAAAAAAAAAAGGTCCAGACCAGGAAGGACATGCCCAGGGCTTCACAGCAAAGCCTGGAGTGGGCTCTTCCCTGAGGTGGCCTTGTGCAGCTGCACACTCTCATGCCCTGACCCTTTGCTTCACCCCAGCTGCAGCTCACATGCAGTTCCGAGCAGCCAGGTCCCTGTGTACAAACTTCTGCTCTGATAGGTACTCCATGCCTCGGGCTACCTGCAGGCCAAAGCTGATGAGGTCCTTCACAGTGGGGTTCTGGGGGCAAAGAGTATTTGGTGACCAAGAGCAGAATAGTTCCATTTGTAGATGCTGCCCAAAGCCCTGCCCCCTAGGGCAGCTGAGCACTGACCCGCTGAGGTGACCGGATGAACTGAAGCAGGTCTCCATGGCGCATATAGGGCAACAGCACACGGGGAAGCCCCTCAGGTGGCAGCATGATACCAATGAGAGCCAGAACATTTGGATGGTGCAGGCCGCGCATGAGCAGTCCCTCTCGCAAGAAGGCTTCTACTTCCTGAACCTCTGTGATGCCTGTAGAATGGCTTGGGTCAGGCCCAGTAGTCTCCTGCTCGGGATCACTTAGATGCCAACACAGCAGGAAGAAAGACCCTCCTACTCTTGGGCTCCTCTCCCTGCCCACCCAACCTTTACCACACTTACGATTCAGCGACTTGATGGCACAGTGGATACGATTCTGAGCCTCATCTGTGTATTCTCCATGGTAGACAACTCCAAAGTGGCCTTATGAGAGGGTGATGGTGAGAGGGTTCCCAGTGCCCAAGCTAACAGCACTCCCTTTCATTGGCAACCAGACCTCAGACCAACAAACAGGCCAATCTGACATTAAAAATAAGCAGCAGCCACATGATGGCAGAGCCTGAAGCTCTCCCATGCCCACTCCAGAACCCACTGAAAATTAGGATTTTTTCCTAATCCTCATTTTACAGATGAGCAAATGGAGGCTCAGAGAAGTTAAATGGTATACTCAAGGTGACACAGGTTGATGAGAAAGCAGAGCAGAGCCCATGCCATCTCAGGACTCCTCTGCCCTAGCCCTACCTGGCTTTCATACCTTTGCCAATGACTCGATCACTGTGGGTGATTACACGCTCATGGGGGATCAGTACATCCTTGACCTCAGCCAGGAGTGCAGAGTCCAGGTCCCTGAGCTTAATGGACTCTGTCCGCAGCAGTGGGACACAGGACCCATCTCTGTTGTCCAAAAAGGATTCTGCATGGACCCGAGTGGTAGAATCAGGACTATCAATAGCAGAGAGTTCTGTGGGGGGAAAGGGAATGAGAGATAGGCTTGTGGGGAAGGGGTGGCCCTAGCTTCTATCTCCTCCTCCATCTCACCAGGGCCATGTCTATAGTCAGAGCCTAAGTGGAGCATAGGCAGGAGCGTGGGTCCATTGGTCCGGTCCAGGGATGCCAGGTCATCAAGGTTGGGAGAAAGAACTGTGGAAAGACAACCTATAAGAATCAGCTTTTTCCAAGCTCCTGGTAGCTGACCCCAACAGGGAGGTATGGGAGACCCCCAAGATCTGGGCAGGTAGAGGTGGGGACTTGGAGATGCCACTATTTGGGAGTAAGGGCTAAGTCAGGATTGAAATGGGGAGCTCACCCAATTGTTTCCTCCGCCACCAGTAGTTGAAAACTAGCACAGTGGCCATTGAAGCCATGAGCAACAGCAAGGCGAGCAAGACAATAAGGAGTGTGTTCTGTGGGACCCCTGGCTGCACCACTCTGCCAAGGATATGACACTCACCATCCACGCAAACCTGGGGGCAGATGATATCTCAGGCCCAGCCTTAGGCACTCAACCCATATTTCCTGTGGAAGACTAGCACAACTGCCTACCTGCAATGGGGCTCCATCCTTGCCAAGTTGTAGGTAGGTGGGCAGGGGACAGACCACCACGTCCCCCCGGAACTCGTGCTGGCAGCTCTCACCACCCACGGTCACGTTCACACTCACGCAGTCAGCCACAGCACCCAACCCAATATACTGCAGAGACAGTCATGAGGACAAACCAGTGGCCCAGCCCCCCATCTCCTAATCTCCCACTATCCCTTCCCCATCCTCCACACCTACCTCAAACTTAATAGTATGCTCTTCAGGCTTCAGTGGGGCTAGTTCAGCACTGGGTAGACGGGGTGGGGGTAGGAAGCGAAAGCCTGGTAGTGTGAAGCCAGCAGCTCCATCCCCCCAGGCACTCAGATTTCCTGTTACCCACTCCTGGTGGCCTCGGACCACATATTCAGGCAGGCGGCATTGATGCTGCTCTGGAAATTGCCCCTCACACTGTTGGGATGCACATGAGAATGGTTAGGCAGGTGCCCCACTTATGGCTGCCCCAGTCTCGTAAGCCCAGCCCAGGGCTAGTTTTCAACTACTGGTGGCATAGGACTGGAGCTCAAGGGATTGGTTCAGCCTTTTTCTTTCCAGTCTAGCAGACACTCACCCTGTTCTCCACTGTTCCTTGCCCATCATGGAATGATAGCACTAAGTGCCATGCTGAAGTCAGATACTGGCCATGGATAGTGACATGGGAGCCTCTGTGAAAGACAGCAGGATGGTGAGTTTGGGGTACTTTCCAAACCTGGCTCCCTCATTCCTCAGAGGCCAATTTGAGCAAAGTAGTAGCACTTACGGGTATCCACAGTTAGGGCTGATGTTCAGCACAATGGGGTCTTCCTGGTAGTGGAAGGTCCAGGAGCCAGGCACCTCAGCACCTCCCACCTGCAGGCGAAGGGGTACTCTGGCCGTGGCAGCCCCAGGGGGTGTGGCACATAAAATCTGCCCCTGGCTGACCCTGTAGGAATGAGGGATTGGGCTCAGGGGTACCCCCCTTATGACAGACAGGCTTACCTCCTTCAGGGTCTACTAATCCCTCCTAGTTCCTCTGTTGATTGTCTCCCCCACGTGCCCACACCCTCCATGGATCTGTCTGAAGATGAGTTGGTCCCAATAAGACTTCCAAAAGGGCAGGGAGGAAACAAGTCTATTAACCGGAACTAATAGACTCTGATAGACTCATTAGCATGCGCGTGCTCTTGCTTTCTCACTCTCTCGCTCGCTCTCTCTTTGGTAGTGTTGGGGATCAAACTCAGGGACTATATGCCTGTGTGCCCAAGGGGTCCAGCTCACACTCAAGTTCCTCTACAAAGGAACAAATGTTCTACAATTGAGCTACATCCCTAATCCCAATGATAGGCTCTTTTGCCTCTGGGATGGAGGGGGCAGCAGATCCTTATTCCTGAAACTGTCCTCCAAACTGACTATGTGACTGAGCTCTCTTCTCTCCATCCAGACAAGATTTAGGACCCCACCTGCTGGCTCCCCTGGATGAGTCCTTGTGACCTCCCATCACCTTGCCTGATAACCCTTACCGTTTCAACTGGCACTGGGTTCCATTGACCAACACAGCCCGGCTGGTGCCTACAGACAGGCCCTGGCCTTCAAGAGTGAGACAGGTGCCCCCTGCCCGTGGGCCAAACAGGGGTTGTACTCTTTTCAGCACTGGCTCCTAAGTGGGCATAGAGGTGGCTTAGCTGGAACAGGACTCCCACTCCAAGCCCTTCCCTTCTGGTACCACCCACTGGACAAAGGCACAGATAGGGCAAAATGTCCTTACCACAAAAGAGAAGCCTTCCAGCATGGAGATGCCTTCTACCTGGAAGTGCTTTCCCCGTGGCATATTAGTCACGATAAGGGTGATGTTGGTAGTTCCTGCTGCCTGTGTGCCCAAGGGGTCCAGCTCACACTCAAGTTCCTCTACAAAGTCCTTCCGGGGCACTGGACTAGGATGCCAGGGGACCCTTGAGGTCAGCCAGGAATCACACAGACCTGCCTGTATACCCACTACCAGTAACAGGGCTCCTCTGAGCCTGAGGATGGTAGTTCTCCACCCATGCCTTTCTCTAGGGCAGATAAGATTGCATGGGGCAGGGACTAACTTTGCCTAGTCCATGACTAAACCAATGGATAGGCACATGCAAGTTCAAAACAGGATAGAGATTTCTCCCTAGACACAAAGCAACTAGACCCATTGCAGCTTACCCCATACCCCCTTGTTCCTGATAAGCAAAAGACAGGGTCTCACAGGAAAAGGGTTACTTGGTTGCTCCCATCGAGGATAGAGAAGGTAGGGCTGGCTTGTACCTGAGGTTTGAGGTGTCCTTAGGCAGCAGGCGGCAGGGACTTTGGCCCACAGTGACCTGATGTGTTCCCTCAGGTATAAGACCAGTAGGATGCAGGTAGAAGTTAGAGCCACACAGGGTCAGCTTTGTGCTGCCCCTTAGGGGTCCACTGTCAGGGTAAAACTGAAGTGGGAGGAACAGAGAGACTGAATTCTTGTGCAGGTCTGATTTCTCTCAGCCTCATCTTCTTCTGCTAGAGTTCCCTGCCATATCCCTTGTTTGCCCCATATTTCAGTCATTCTGGGTCACTTGCTAATCCTCATTCAAAGTTTTTTTTTTTTCCCTTTAGTATCAGGGATTGAATCCAGGGTGCTTAACCACTGAACCACACCCTCAACCCTTTTTATTTTATTATTTTGACTCAGGATCTCTCTAAGTTGCTTAGGGCCGTGCTTTGTTGCTGAGTCTGGCTTTGAACTTACAATCCTCCTGCCTCAGCCTTCTGAGCCACTGGGATTATAGATGTGTGCCACTGCACCCAGCTCATTCAAGCATTTTTCTTGCCTACCAAGTCTTTGCATGTTCATCCCTTTGCCAAGAATGCCCTCCTTGGAGATCTGCAGACATTTTGGGCCTGAGCAAGATCATGGTCAAAATTTGCTGACCCCACTACAGGCCCTGCTTATCTTTAGAGATGTTGTACCTTGGTAAGCACAGGTGGACAGTGATCTTGTTGCCAGGAGCCAGGACACTCCTTCTGTCTGCCGCACATGTTCCCACACCAGCCACAGCCCATGAAATGCTGTGCTTGTAGGCAACGCCTACAAGTGAGGAAATGGTGGCAGCCAGGCCCCTGGATAGGTACCTGGAAGACCTTGAGGTGACAAATAGGCAGTTTAGGGATGACTGGAGAAAGGAACTGGGCCCTATAGACCCTCCTATTCCCATTGTAGACTGGGGTGGTGAGACCTGAATGTCAATGCCTCCTGGGAATGAATAGAAAGGCTGTGATTCTAGACTCTGACCATGCCCACCTCACCTGGTCCCCAGAGGCAAAAAGTAGGTGGTCTCCAAGGCGTTTGACATCTCGATGGATGGACTGTCCGTTGTTACTCAATGAGAAGTTGGATACATACAGCAAGTAGTTGAGTGATCTGACTAGCTCCACCTGGGACAAGTCAACTGTGAGAAAAATAAGCATGGAGACAGGAACAAAGGGCCAAGGGGTTGTGGAGTGAGAGACTTACCTGTAGGATACGCCCATCAGATGTGCCCATGTGGGCCACTGTGACATTGTCAAGGCGTGTCACATAAAGTGCAGTGACCTGCACTGATCCTAACAGCCCATTGAATAGATCCACACGTGGGAACCTGCGGCTGACCAGCAGAGGGAAGTGGTGGCAGCTGATGTTGGGGCTAGAAGCTTCCAGGACAGGCTGAAGAGTGTCAGGGAAGAGAGAGTTAGAATTTAGCCCTGTGCACTGACCTTTTGGGACCTCAGTCGGTGATCACAGCAGCCCCAAGCTCCCATCCCTCACCTTCCCTGATGAGAGACACCCTGGGCTTGCCGGTTATCTGCCCTTACTTCCCCCACAGGGCTCTTGGAGGTAGCAAGGGCAGGGAAAGAAAGAAGCCCAGGCAGGAAGGTCAGCTCTCCCCGACTTTTCCATTCTGGCACTTATTGGTCTTAGAGAATCAATCCCACTACATCCTCACAACCACCTGTAAAGTAGAATCAAACTCAGAGAGGGTTGGCCACTTGTCCAAGGCTTCAAAATACCACAGGATAGGAACCATGGTGGAAGCCTGTGCTCTTACCCAGAGTTCTCTCCCACCCCCTGCTGGCTCTACTGTGCCTCTGCAAGTGCACTTCAGGAAACCCTGTCTGAGCTTAAGTTTCTCCACTCACATGAGGGGTTGAACTCTGAGGTTAATTGGCCAGCACAAGATTGGTAATATGGTCCTTCTCCTGGAGACTCTAAAGGTCCTCCTGTATCTCTCACTTCCTCTGTACAGAGGGAATAAACCAAGGCCCTATGGCTTGGGTGCCAAGCTAGGCCCCAGAAGCTGGGAGACATTAACTCTCTCATGCTCTTAGCAAGAAGGTGATTTGAAGGCTGTACTTTCTAGGGCAGGACCATGAAAGCTTCTGGGAAAGTAGGAAGCCAGTATATGAATTTAAAGTATTGGGGGCTGGGGATGTGGCTCAAGCGGTAGCGCGCTTGCCTGGCATGTGTGCGGCCCGGGTTCGATCCTCAGCACCACATACCAACAAAGATGTTGTGTCCGCCGAGAACTAAAAAATAAATATTAAAAATTCTCTCTCTCTCTCTCTCTCTCTCTCTCTCTTCTCTCTCAGTCCCTCTTTAAAAAGAAAAGAAAAGAAAAGAAAAGAAAGTATTGGGGCTGGGTTTGAGGTATTGGCAAAGCCCAGTGGCTAGCCCCAGGTGCTTATGATTCTCCCTTGCCAGCCCTGAGGACATTCTTTAAAGCAGAAGCCTTTGAAGTCTCCATCAGACCACCTTTCTGATACCTCACTGTTAAGCAAGAGTCTTGGGAATAAGAGTAGGTGCAGAACTGGGCCTAGAAAGCCCATATACCCTAGTCTGTAGCCTGTGTATGTAGAGACTGAGACTTTGTCTTACCTTGAGAAGGAAAGGGGCCTGGCCCTAGCAAGAAGCCTGCCAGGTATTTCCAGAATGACTCAAAGACAGGTGGGGCTCTGGAGTTGAAAAGAAGCCTCAGCTCAGCCAGGGCCACACCCCTGTTTACTTGTCTGTAGATCCAAGAACTTACCTTTGGGTCATAGGCTTGACTAGGGGCCCCCAGCTCCTGAAAACACTTGCTCTAAGTGTCCAGTGCCCCATGGAGAACCCACACTCTACCTAAAACCATGGAGGATAGGCACAAGCCCTGAGGTACAAAGTGGGTACTGCCCCAGAGGCTGCAAGCCTAGTATCATTAAACAAATACTGGCTATACACCTCCTGGGAGCCTGGGAAGTCTGTGGGTAGGGCTCAATATTGGTCTTACTAGTGCCTGGCACTGCCTAGTTACTAGATGCTGGGTGTATTCTAACCCACTGACCCTAGCTACATTGTGGAGAGGTTTTCACTTCCCAGAAGAAAGAAGATGGGGCCAGGCAGGGCTTTCCAGCCCAGACAAGAAGTATCACCCATAGGGACTCTCCATCCAGATGTACTCAGCTAAGGGAGAGAGACTAACTATTTCCTCTCCTCACACTGGTTTAAAGTTCTCTCACCTTCAGGACATTAATAGGAGCTGGAAAGGCAGTCAAATGAAAGTCTCACAACAGGGCCAGGGGCCCAGGATGACCAGAGATTCAGAGCAGCTGCTTGGTGGAAGTCCACTCATCCAATGTTCCATCCAACCCATATGGGCGTCCTCCCTCCCTCCCTCCCTCCCTTCCTTCCTTCCTTCCTTCCTTCCTTCCTTCCTTCCTTCCTTCCTTCCGTCCTTCCTCCCTCCTTCCTTCCTCCCTCCCTTCCTTCCTTCCTTCCTTCCTTCCTTCCTTCCTTCCTTCCGTACTGGAGATTGAACCCAGGGTGCTTAAGCACTGAGCCACATCCCCAGCCCTTTATATCTATTTAATTGTTTATTTTTATTTTTAATACCACAGATTGAGCCCAGAGGTGCTTAACCACTGAGCCACATCCAAAGCCCTTTTAAATATTTTATTTAGAGACAGGATCTTGCTGAATTGCTTAGGGCATCACCAAATTGCTGAGGCTGCTTTGAACTCACAATCCTCCGTGCCTCAGCCTCCTGAGCCTCTGGGATAATAGGTGTGTGCCACCACACTTTTTATTTATTTATTTTTAATTTTGAAATAGGTTGTCACTAAGTTGCTGAAGCTGGCTTTGAATCTGTGATTCTCCTGCCTCAGCTTCCCAAGCTGCTGGAATTTCAGGTGTGGGCCACTTTGCCCAGCTGGGTAGGGCTATTTCGGTGGCTTTAATGAGTTAATTTTGGTTTTGTTCTCAGGTTTGTTTTTTTTTTCAGGGGACTCCCAATCTAGAGGGGTAGCTCTAGAGATTGAAGCCAGGGCCTCATGCATACTAGGCAAGCACTTCATCACTGAGCTGCTCAAAGTAGCATTTTAAAGATTGTCTTGTTTGTTTTTATTCTCACTCCCTGACTCTGTGGCTGGACAGACATGGGTAAGGTCTGTTGGAAGGATCCCCCATTTCAGCATGGGATGTGAAACCTCCTGTCTGGGGCAGTTATGGTAGCAGGAAATATGGGGTTAAACAATTCCAAGCCCCTCCTAGGCCTTTACTCATCCCCAGATGTTTATAGTTGATTGCACAATATTGGGTTGAGGCTCCCAGAACCTTATAGAGCAAAGTTGCCTTCTCACTGTGTCCAGGGTCCTCCTGTAATCACCCTACAGAGAATGGGTTAATGAAACACAGGCCATACAGGTTCCCAACAAACCCCCTGACTTCCAAAGCCTAGGAGGTTTCCCGAACATGGTGGGGTCAGGGGTTCTTTAGAAACTCTTGTCCCACGCCCCTAGGAAAGTAGAGCAAAACAAGTGCTCCCATAAGGAAAGTAAAACTGTGTTTGGTAAGCAACCCGAGTCTGTGAAAATCTGTAAGCATCTGCCTGTATGAGAATTTGTGCCTTTATGCAAACTTTTCTGTGTGTGTGTCTGAGGCAGATTGGGCAGATTGGAGGGATGTTCATCATTTTACCCAGAATTTGGGAACTGTGCTGGCAGAGAGACAATTATACAACCCCATTCTGATGTAACCAAAGAAACTACCTAAAAAACAAAACAAAAAAAACAGAAGCCATGATGGCTGAGATGGTGAAAACACAAAGTGAGGACGTATCAGAAGCTAGCATAGGCTGGGTTCAGTGGTGCAGGCCTGTAATCCCAGCAGCTTGGAAGGCTGAGGCAGGAGGATTTCAAGTTCAAAGCCAGCCTCAGTAAAAGAGACGTGCCAAGCAACTCAGTGAGACCTTGTCTTTAAATAAAATACAAAATAGGGCTGGGGATGTGGCTCAGTGGTTGAGTGCCCCTGAGTTCAATCTTCAGTACCACCACCACCCCCAAAAAAGAAATCCAGCATAGTTGGAAGATGAGCCTCCAGGGGAGCGTTTGTTTGGCTGATTTTTCACACCACCCCAAGCCTGCATGAACTGGGAAGAAGAGAATGCTTCTCTCTGCCTGCTCTCCCCCTCCAGGTCCTCTCAGTGATGGAAGGGAGCAGCCTGTGTTCAGCCACCAACAGACTGTTCACAGGTAAAGTCCCCTTCTTTCTGCTTACCGGGTTAGGGCAAAAACTGGGCGACTGGAAGAAGTCAAGGCCTCGTGGGAGGCCAGAATGAACTGAGGACTCACAACAGTGTTCCACACCCTCATCAATTAGGGTGTCCAGCAGGTTGATGGGAAAGGCACAGACAACAGAGTTGGGACCCATGCCAGGACTGCCATTCCTGCCAGTGGTGAAGACTCCAAATAGCACTTCATTGCCCTCGGTGATACTCAGCTCAGCAGCGAGTTGGGTGCCCACTGAAGCAGAGTGGGCTGCCTGAAGGATCGGGTAGGACTGCTCCCGGTCTGGGATCCCACGGCGCCGACGTTTAGGTGCAAAATGACAGTCAAGGACCAGTTCTCGGTAGTCACTCAAATCTGCCTCCAAGGCATTGAGCCGTGCCAGGCGGGTTTGCAGGGCACCAGGAGAGTCTATCACACTGGAAGGCTGAACAGTGAGCAGGTAAACAAAGGCTCCTGCATGGAAGCTATGAACATATTCTATATGGTAGGAGTCCAAATATTTTGGCAGCACTGACAATGAGGAAAAGCCTGGTTCGAATCCTGAGGCATCTGCCTTGAGGCGCCGGATGGACACTGAGCCAGGGCTAAAGCTGGTAGCCACCTTTGCATCCAGTGAGGATGCCACATAGAAGTAGGAGGCCTGGCCCTGCTCAACCACTGTCACACGGGTGCCCAATGGGCTGGCCACACAGTCCGGACAATCCTCAGGCCGGTTGTTATGGGCTGAGAAAAGGCAGATAGGCGCTGCCAGGTGCAGGGTTGTCCCGCGCATCTCCAGCTCATGCAGAAAGCAGCGGCCTTGTAGGCTTGAGCCACAGCTGACCAGTGCTGGCAACACCGGCTCCAGAACCAGCACCAGTGTGTCTGTGTCAACTGGTGGGCCATGGGGGCCGCGGCCACAGGCCGCACATGTCTGACAGCCAGGATCCCCGGTAGGGCCAGTGGCCAGACTCTCAATAGACTGCAGGTTAGGCCCAAGCACATGCAGGTGATTGCGTGTGGCCACAAACACCGCACTCCCATCCCCGCTGCCCTCATAGGTGGCCAAGGCCTGTACCTGGCTGCCAGCAAAGAAGCTGGGCACTACATACTTCACATCAAAGTCGCGGGAAGCAGCGTAGGGTGTGCGAGGGCACTGCCAGTCCCTGTATGACATCGACACCGCAGTCAGCAGCAATAGCAGCAGCAGCAGGAAGAACAGTGGCAGTAGCTGACGAAGCTCCATCGAGGCGATCTGGAGCCCCTTGGGGATACCTGGTTTCAGGCCTTGGCTGGGAGCAGAGGTCTGAGCTGAGATCAGCGTTGAAGAACGGTCAGAAAGCTCTTGGACGGCCAACCTCCACCCAGGGTTTCTGTGAAGCCCAACCCCTTCCACAAGGAGCACCTGATGCCAATGTACACACGGCAAAGAAAGGAACAGCCGTCTCACCTGCCGCGGGATCTTTGGCTTGGAATTACCGCGTGGAGCAAAGTCGACCCGAGGGAGCAGAACGGGTGAGGCTGGGCTGGGGGCGGGGCTAGGGGCGGAGCTGGGGGCGGAGCCTTGTTGAAGGCCAGGCTCTCAGCCCATCTGACTCTTCTCAATGCTGGGCCCTACACTTTCTCTTGTGCGTCTATTTCTCAGGGGCCTGTGGGTGGGTGTGCGTGGAGTGGCCTGAAGAGAAAAGAGCAGGCCTGAGCCATTCCATTACATCCCTCCAACAACCGACCATGTCTAAGTAAAAAGTGGATAGGATAACCTGGTTCTTTTGTTCTGGTGGAGCTATGTTACAGCAACACCCTCAGACACTGGTTCCCATAGCCCATCTGGGGGACCTACCGTGTGGGGAAGAGACAGGGATCTTGTGGAGTGCCTCACTTCAAGAGCAGGAACAATCTTTTTAGTTGCCTGCCCTGAGGCTTTGTCAGAGGAAAGTAGTTGTGCCCTGATCACCCAGGGCCATATGAATTAAGGTATGAGACTCATTCCCTGGACAAGAGTCAGAGGAGACTATGTGAAGGTTTAACTCTGCCTCTGGTCCCTCCACTGCAGCCTCAGTATGTGGAAGCCATAGGGGGTACAAACCATAAAACTGACCTCTGGAAAGACTCCCCCCAAAGGTTCTGCTCTAGTGCCCTATGATATGGGGGAAGGGATGGGCTTTGGTTCCCAGGGCTTCTCTAATCTACTCTGTAAGCCTTTTAGTCTCTGAGATAAGAATAAAGTCCTGGTTAGATGGTTAGCTAGAGTTTTCTATCCAGTCTGTAAATTGGTGGGTAGATCCTAGTTCTGCTTTGCCATCTCCTTCATTTAGACCTCAGCACTGTCTTTTGGCTAGTGGCCTCCCTCTACACTGGAGGTGGGGATCTATAACCAGATAGCCCCTTTAGCCCAGTAGGCCTGGACTCTAGAGGGAAGGGGTCCAGGCCTAACATCACTGTCACAGTGGTTCTGGGATATTATCAGTGGTTCTGGAGTGGGTAAGGAGGCTGGGTAAGGAAGGAGCCTGGACTGGGGAGCTCTACCTCCTCCACTCCCTACCCAGTGCACACCTCACTGCCTGTACCTCCTTCCTAACCTGACCTTTGCAATGCTATTCCTCTTTTCAGGAGCACCCTTTTTTTGTTCTTCTCTAAAAGCTGAGATAACACCTCTCCCAAGGAGCCATCAAGACCCAGGTCCCTCTCCTGGATCCCACACACTGTGCTACACACATTCCAGCACAGTTTACTCTTGAGTATTCCTTGCTTTCTCCATTTCCTGGGCAGGATTTTCCCTCCTTCCATGCTGGATCTTCTTGAGCAGCTGGTGACTGAGAGAGGAAATGGAACATAGAGCAGTCACACCCAGTGCAAGATACCATGCCCAAGGCAACATAAAAGGCACTCCCTTCCTGATCCAAATTGGCCCGGAAATGAATAAACACCCAGTGAAAATCACGGCACCCTTCCAGCATTCCATGGTCAACACATCTAGATATAGTCACACAGGACAGAACTGAAACGAAATACTCTCCACCTGAAGTCCATCCCACCTCCAGATGTTGGGAGAGATTTCTACCGATTGGGAGAAGACTTCACAAGCCCTCCTAAATCATCTGCCCACAGGTTTTTAGGGGGTAAAAATGAAGTGCCATCAATTGGTTCTCTGCTGCCACCATGTGGCCACATAGTGGATGACCTTCTAAGGCAGACAATCTCAATAGTGAGGTTCACAGAAGCACCCTTTCCTTCCTTCTTCCTTGGTTAGCTCTGCAGAAGGGGGCAGGCAAGGCTTGTGGGGAAGGTCTGCTAATAGTACAAGAGCTCCCCCAAGACTCACCATGCCTGGCCCATAACTGGTTTAGTAACTGCCCAATTACCCTGGCATCTTGTCACCATGAACAAAGTGGCTAGCACTTTGCCCTCTTTGGGCTTTCGGTCTCCTGTGAACACTGTTCTAGAAGACTGGGTCCAGTTTCTTTTTCTAATCCAGAGATCACTTTAGTGGCAGCAGAAGTTTCTCTCCAACTACAGTATGACCCCATCATACTGCAGCTTCAACTCTCTACTGCCAGACTTTTATCTGGAGGTTGAGAACCCCAGGTCTTATAAACTCTTCCAACTTCATGAAAAATGTTGTTTTGTCTTTTTAAACCAGGTACTTGCCTTTGCACATGATGGTTTCCTCTTTATTTGGCTGTCATTCTACCCTGATCCCCGAATAAGTAAACTGTATGATTCTAGGTGCCTATTATCCAAATACACAGATAACTGTGACCCCTCCATCTCTGACATAGAGGCTGACTGTTGATAAGAACACTAGTAACAATCAGGGACATCTGGACTGGCATCACTGTGTTCCCTGAAGCAGTGGGTTGGTATAATAATCAGGAGCAAGGAGAAGAACAGAAGCTTAAAAGAGGCAGAAAAGAGATCCGAGCATATGTGTAGGATAGCAGCACTTATCAAACCTGGGGCTACTCCCCATGGACTTTGGAATCTGGGTAGGTGGCCTGCTGCCATACTGATTTCAATGTGATCTAGTTTGGAGCCAATGACAGAAGATATGTTGCCATTTCCTGAGACAGGAATACAACTCTCCCACTGTATCCTTGGCTGATGCTACCTACAAAGACAAATTCTCCAACATGGGTTGGTTTTAAAGATAGTAAAATCTGGGCCAAACTCTCAGGGGCTGCAAAAGGATGCTTTTGATCACATTCAGTGTATAATTTTCTCCCAGAAACACTTCCTAGGCCTTTTGCTTCCCTGGCCAATGAGAAGTTGTAGCAGAATGGGGAGAGCCCCAACAATAAAGATGAAGGCTTTCTGCACTGTGTCCTAGGCTCTGCTCCCAAAATTCTCAGAGTGAATGAGCCTTTACTACCAAACCTCCTGGGATGTCCATGGAGTTTCATGCAGTTCTGGCCATGCCAGGCTAAGGAATAGGGTAACTGAGGAAGAACCAGTGCACGTAGTGACATCAGCTCTTATTAAGGCAGATGCATTCCTAGAGTCCCTGGAGGCCAAGGGAACCTCCTCTCAAATCCTCTAGCTCATTTTGGAGGCCATTCTGAGGAATGTGCTGGTTGAGGTAGGGGAACTGAGGCAGATAGCCCTTCATGGAAAGGCCTATAGGGAGAGGCCTGTGGCTACAGGGAGACTAAACTCTAAATTTGTGCCTCACCAAGGGCTCTCACCCACACCATAGCCCAGATTACCCCACTTGGGCCATCTTTATTTTACTCAGCTCAGCCCATGCTGATCTTTAGCAGTCTATTAAGCAGTCATAGCCAGAGCTTTGTTGGGTGGTCCTTCAGGGCATGCAACTGGAGGGTCCACCCTGGAGAGGGAAGACAAGTGCAGAGGCAGACTGGGTACAGAGGGAAGGTGCAGGGGCAAGGATAGGACAGTAGGATAACTGAGAGCCTTTACATATGATGATTTCAGGTGAACCAAAACATCTGCAGCCAAGGGTCCAACTCTGAATGTGTGTAGGCTGATGCTAGTGCAAGGGCAGGAGGAGAGTGGCTTAAATATGCATGTGCTCCTGTATATGAAGAAATATGTGCAGAACTAGGGAGGAGAATCCAGTGTTTGTCCATGATAGTAGATGGAAAAAAAAAAAAAAAAAGAACAATGACATGGCTGCAACAAGTGTCTTCCCCAAAGTACTTTAATGCACACACCAACCCATGGCTTTCCACACCCAGTGGGACTGGAAGGGCTGAGTCTGCACACATTCCCATCAGTAGGTGAGGGGTGTGAGGATGAAGAGGCGGTCTTCCTCTTTACGGATCCAGCGCATCAACTTATGGATGGCACTGACAGCTGATGCCTTAGTCCCCAGAGGGCTGTAGCACATGTAGAGCTCAAAGGCGCCTGTCACCTGGAGAAGGGGGCAAAAGGAGGTCATCTAAGATGGATAGCCCTTATGAACCCTACCCAGGACCTCCATGAAGCCCAGTCTAATGAGGGCCACCTTACCCAGGCTAGGAGGTTCTCGTTGGGGCCTGTGTAGTAGATGGTCTTGAGTGGGCGGGAGGCATTGTGGGCACGACTGTGCAGGTACTGGTAGAGGCCCAGCAACCGCTCCTGTTCCTCTTCACTGGTGTATGGGGCCTCAATCTCAGGACTGCAGATGAGGGAGTGGGTTCACAAAGGAATGACTTCTATTGCCTTATCTGGAAATCTAGAAAATCTATTCCTAGACAGGGAGACTCCACCACATGTTCTACTCTCCAGATGTTCTCTAGGACAGGTTATTGTCATCATCTCCCCACTCCCTGGAAGACTTCCCAGGAGACTGGTGCTCTGCCCCCTCACACACCCAAGGTCATGGTATTGTTTTCTCTGGAGAGGCCAATTTGAGTTTAGGTGACTAAGAAGAATGATATGTCTGCAGTTGATAAAAGGTGTACTGGGAAATCCTCTGGGAAATCCTCTGGGTAAAGGGAGGACAGAAGCTGCCTTATCTGCCCAGTTCCTTCCCTAGAGGAACAAGTGAGGGAAGACTCTGCATCCTGGATTGGACCAAAATGACCCCCTAGGGCAGAGTTGCTCTAAGGCAAGGGTCCTAGGAGACCTGTGTTCCAGCTTTCTTCCCTGTGTATATTGGTCAATTTCAGGTCTTACAGGTAATGAAATAGATGTATGCTGGTGGCATGATAGAAGTCTGGGCCCCTCGTACCACAGTAAAACAACTCTAGAATGCTGGTCCACTCCCAAAGGGGTTGTCAGCTTCAGAGCTACATCCTAGGACTCAGGACCAACCAGCCTCCTCCTCCCCATATCCTTGTGTCCCTGAAGCAGTGTCCTCCCTCACCTGGTGAAGAGTCCTGAGCTCTTTGATTTATAGAGGAAGTGACGCAAATCAGGGATGCCCACTTGGGCAACGCTGTAGTAGGGTGTGCGCAGTGCCTCCCGAAGCGCAAGGTGAGCTCCGCGTTTGCGAAGGCGCTCCTGGAAGCGGCGGCGGCAGTCAGAGACAGCAAAAAAGTCCTCGCGGTCGGTGGAGACAAGTAGCAGGCAGAGGTCGGTGTCAGGCTCTAGGTAAGAGATGTGTGCGTGGAAGAAGCCAGCTGCATTGAATTTGGGCAGGCATACCGGCGTCCAGGCCTCACCCTCACGGAAGGACGAGGAGGAACTTATGAGATTGAAGAGCAGGTGCAGGTCGATGGGGTGCAGGAATTGGTCCTTGCGGCGCACGAGCGCCACCAGCTGGTTGCGGGCCACTAGGATGGAGAAGACAAGGCTGCGAGCACGTGCCTGTTGCAGGCTGGCACTCACTGCATCTCGAACCGTGGCGGCCAGGGGCAGGCACCGCGCCGCCCCCATTAGGAAGCTGGGGTCTCTAGCCATTAGCTGTAGCAGATTGTCGGTGATGCGCTCGGAGCCTGAAAGCAGGCGCCGCAGGTCGTAGTTCTGCTTCTGCTGGAAGATGTGGCTCAACTGTGCCCCAGTAAGAAGGCTCAGAATTTGGTAATAGATGTAGAGCAATTCTTGTGCCAGCTCCTGTGCCGACTGCCGCGTTCGTGCCACTGCCACCAGCACCAGTGGGCTCCGGCGCACAAATACCACCTTGTAGCCATCTGAAGATGGGGACACAGCATCAGCCTCAGGTCTTTTCCCAGAAGCCATCCTGATAGGCCTTACCCAGATCTGTGCTGCCTTTCAATTTCCACATCTTTTTCTCTCAGAGCTCTCTGTATTCAGCTTCAGGATGAAACCACCACACTTTTTTTTTTTTTTCCATACTAGGGATTGAACCCAGGGGTACTTTATTTATTCATCCATTCATTCATTCATTGAGACAGGGTTTCACTAAGTAACCAAGGATGGGCTCAGAATTTGCCGTTGTGCTGTAATCCCAAATCCCGGCAATTTGGTGAGTTCCACCAAACCAAATCCCTTGCTCTCTTTCTCTGCCTCTTGCTTCACAGATTCATTCCCTCAGAAACACAAGGTCTTCAGAAACAGAAAACATACATTCTTAAGGGAAATGTTAACTCAGCTGGGTGGGACTAAGGACATCCTTTTTTTTTTTTTTTTTTTTTTTTGTACTAGGGATTGAACCCAGAGGCGCTTACACTGAGACACATCCCCAGCCCTTTTTAAGCTTAGGGCCTTGCTAATTTGCTGAGGTTGGCTTTGAACTTGTGATTCTCTGGCCTCTGCTTCCCAAGTCTCTGGGCTTACAGGTGTGCACCACCATGCCCAGCTTTTTTTTTTTTTTTCCCTCAATCACCCCTGCCCTTCTAGCCAATTTTCACCTGTTTTCTATAATAAAGCTATGTCAAAGCCATCATTAGCCCTCACTGCAGCCCCATAAGACTGGCCATGTTGTTAACGTATGTTCAGATGAGGACCTTAAGGTTCAGAGAGGTGAGTGGAGGGACTTGACCCTCAGCACACAGCACATCCCAACCCTCTAGTCTGTGGGGGTCCAGAACCTGCTATGAATTAAACCTGACCAGTGCAGCCTTCCCCACCACCCTGGGACTTCAAGTGGCTCACCTGCATGGATGGAGCGGATGGCATTCTTGTCTGCCTCCAGAAAGGATACTAGTGCCACCATGACACCCATTGTGCTGGAAAGCGCCTCCTCAGAGCCATAGCGAGAGTACACGGGTTTCCCTGCCTCACTCAGGACAAAGACATGCTTCTGGTGCAGGCGCCATGCCTCCGTAGCGTCTTCTTCATCCCCCTCTGTTGTGCCCTCCCTTGAAGGCTCCATGTCTGGTCTCCCAGTTGCCCCTGGGGGTTCCAGCCAGTCCTCAGAGCTTCCTGGCAGCATCTCCTCTTGTAGGTCTCGAGCCACACCTGTCAGCTGGGTGCTTAGCTCACTAAAGTCCTGGCTGATCTGGCGCATATCTGTAGGCAGTGATGGAGGACCCCCAGCACCCTCCTTGGGACTGTCCCCAGAAGCTGCCCCATCCTCTGACTCAGTTAGGTCCTCATAGGAACGGGCATGAACAAACATGGCACCCTCCTGCCCGGCACCTGTAGGCCAAAAGCACTGGTGCTTAGAAAGGGAACTGCTGGCAGACACTCTCTAACATGGTTACTCTAACATGACTTTCTGTCCTGATGGGGCCATGCCACTGTTCCTTCCTGCCATGCTCATGCTTCTCTGCAATTTAGAGCCCATTGTTTTCCTCTCATCACACTCGCAATAAGACCTAAACCCTCATGGCAGCAGTGGTGACTGGTATTTACCTACCTCTTTCATTCCCATATTAGGCCCCCTCCCTAAGAGACACTGATGCTGACCTTTGTCCATTTGCTCTTTGGACACCTCAACATGCCCCAACCTACCTCAGGAGCTCTGCAGTTATATCTTCATCTTACCTACAACCTTAGCACTCTATCATGTGATTCTCTGATTTCCTTTGGGACACTTGCCAATTATTTCCCTATCCAACTACAGTGGTAAGGTAGGAACCTGTTTGTTCACTGTTATATGCCCAGTACCCTGCTCTATGCCTAGAGCACTTCCCGTACTCAGTGAATCTATTTCCCTGGGGGAAGACTCCTGTCCCATTCAGGTCACAGTCCCTGACTGACTCCATAGCCTATGGTTTCCCCATGACAGAGACCATATCAGTCTTCCTTTATTAATTTGTTTTTCAGCACTGGGGATGGAACACAGGGCCTTAGGCATGCTAGGCCAAATGTTCTACCACAAAGCTACACTTCTAGTCCCCTTATTTTTCTTAAAGAGACACTATCTTACTATGTTGCCCAGTCTGGGCTCAAATTTGTGGATCCTCTTGCCTTAGCCTCCCAAGTAGCTGGTACTATAGGTGTGGTGCCACTGTGCCTGGTTCCTTTACTGATTTTCTTTTCTTTCTTTTTTTTTGGGGGGGGTGGTTCTGGGAATTGAACACAGAGCCTTTTGCATGCATGGCAAGCATTCTACCAACTGAGCTATATCTCCAGCCCCCTTTACTGATATTTTTGCCAAAGTAGTTATAAATTCAGCACCATACAAGGCATTGGTAATATGAATGCCCTGTGCTCAAAGAGCTCACAATCTTGTTGGAGAGAGAGGGTAAACACATGCCGAAAATTACAAAATGACTAGTGTCCTGTACAGGGCAGGCCTGATTTGTGAGGAGGAGACATTTAACCTGAGAGCTAAGGAGGGGAGAAGGTTCCAGGATCCTGTAGACATAAACAGAAGGATAGCCAGACTAGCAGCCCAAGAGCACAGGATGAACAGCACAACATGAAATGGAGAGGAAGACCAGATGTAAACTTAGTCTGGCTCCCTGCAATATCACTAGGATGAATACCCAATGAATGAATGAACAAATAATGAATGGTGGGAAAGAAAGAGTGGAAGAGCCAGAAGCTGACTGTTCCAGCTGTCAGGTGATAGGGGCTACTCACTCTGCCCATACCTGGTTCCATTCCCTGGGCCAGTCCAGGTGTGGGACTCTCTGCTCTCTCCACACTCTGTCCATCAGAAGGAGCCAATGTGCCATCAGGGCATTCACTACTTTTCTTCCTCTGCATATCAGCAGCCATCCTTTGGGCTTTCTGTGGGATAAACAAAATCTAGGAGGATGGGGAGAATGTGCAATTTGTAGAGTCACTGAT